TACTCTGGTGCATCTTATACTCCGAAAAATATAGTAGTTAAGGCACAATCCAAAAGGTGCTTTTCAAGAGACAACTGGACTTTATGGTTTTTCTTCTCAGAGCTGAAGAAGCTTCCTGGATGAGAAGCGAAATGTCTTCAAAGAAAAGCCAGAAAGTTCAGTTGCCTCTTGAAAAAGCACCTTGGGGAAAACCATGACCTGGATGACTGAGAACCTCTATAGACAGCTAAGGCACAGCTTGCCAGTTACCTCAGTGTCTGTGGCATTTGCTCTCTGGGATTCCTGTGGGATTTTTATTTTATTTTTTGCTTTTTTTTCTGCTAGAAAACAAGAAAGGACTTTGGAAGTTGCAATCATGTGATTGTGGGACAGTACAACTGGTGGTAAATGTGAGCCTGTTACCAAGCTGGAAATATGATTGCATGACTTTGTGTATGACTGTGCATGCACACAGCAGTCATAACTTTGAGGACGGGGGGGTCAGCAGCTGTGAAACTCAATTGGTAAGCTATCAGATGTAGGTTGAGGACTATCGTATAAGATATACAGTATTCTAGGACCTTCAGAGTAATCCAATTGATGCTTCACATGAACCGATTATGCAGGATCTAAGCATATCCCAAGAAACATTTAGAATATAAAATGCAGAATAACAGAGTTGGAAGGGGCCTTGGAGGTCTTCTAGTCCAACCCCCTGCTTAGGCAGGAAACCCTACACCACTTCAGACGAATGGTTATCCCACATCTTCCTAAAAACTTCCAGTCTTGGAGCATTCACAACACTGATTAATTGTTCTAACTGTCAGGAAATTTCTCCTTAATTCTAAGTTGCTTCTCTCCTTGATTTGTTTCTACCCATTGCTTCTTGTCCTTATCAGGTGCTTTGGAGAATAGCAGGCACAACACACAAGTCAATATAAAACAATGATTTACAACTCAGGTCACAACTTCAGATTTCTCCTTTTTCCTATTTTCAGTTAACGTTCATGTCCAGTTTCTGAATGAAATTTGTGAAATGAAATGCTGAAGCAGTCATAACTTTGAGGAGGGTCATATGTAGCTTTGAAATCTGTTGTAACGTCAAATGGTTGGTAAGTGATTGGATATAGGTTGAGGACTACCATATATTCTAGGACAGGGGTTTCAATCTTGCAATGACATGTCATCAAGTGATGTATCACAACGTTTTCCCCCTTCGCTAAAATGGGGGTGGGCGTGACCAGGGTGTGATGCATCTGGCCCGCAGGCTGCGAGTTTGACACCCCTGTTCTAGGACATTCAGAGCAGAAGTGGGTTCCTACCGGTTCGGACCGGTTTGGACGAGTAGGTAGTAACTCGGCTGCCCATGCCCCCGAACTGGTTCTATCGGCAGTGCCTATGGCGCTGCCATCTTGTTTTTTGCTTCTGAGCATGTGCAGAAGCAATTTTTTCACTACTGCGCATGCGCAAAGCGTGCACCCCCCCCAAAGTGCACGGCCCCACAAAACATGTGCATACCCAAAGCGTGTCCCTGAGCGAACCGGCAGTAAAAGAATCCGGAACCCATCCCTAGTTCAGAGTAACCTGATTGGTGCTTCACGTTAACTGATTACGCAAGACTTAAGCATATCCCAGAAAATATTTAGCAGGCACAACAAACAAGTCAATACAAAACAGCTCTGGTCACAGCCTCATATTTCTCCTTTTTTTCTATTTTTAAATAACTTTTCACTCCAGTTTCTGAATGAAATTTATGAAAACGAAATGCGACTTGCCTCCACATTCTAACACACTTCGTGCACCCACAATGCCTTGCCCATCATTCCCTGGACAAGGTTCACAGGAGAGCTGACCTTCCGTGTCTTGATAGGTCCCCGGTGAGCAAGGGATGCATTGATTATGTTCTCCACTATAATAGGTGCCAACACTGCAGGTAACTGGGAAAATAAAAATCAATTCTATGTTTATTACTGTTTCATTATCACAGTGTCTTCATAGTACTACTGATAACTGGCAGCCATCCCTTTAAACTAATCACACCCTTGTTCAGCTTTACAGTAGATAAGATCTTGCAATCTTTGAGTAATATTTTAAATCCCCACAGAGCATCGTTGCTAATATTAAGAACACATTTTTACATCTATACATAAAACAAGCCCTGAAATGTGTACATTGTCAGGCCTGCAGCCGTCTTTTCTTTTGGATCTTTGGCCTGCCACACTTTCTATTATTCTACTATGCATTTCTATTGTGGGAAAATGGGAGGGGGGATTGTACAGAGTTAGATGCTATGTAGCCATAATAAAATTCCTTTCTAGAAAGCCAAGGTCATCCTTTGTCTCTGCACCTGACCGGAACTGGATGGGTAAAACTGCCAGTGTGGCAGTGGGAGATTGTACCATGTGATGGGCTTGTGG